AGTACTCTCCCATCTTGTCATACACCAAACCGATGTTGTTGTATGAAATAGCCAAATCCGGATGATTTGATGGAAGAGTTTTTTGTAGAATTTCAAGTGCTTTTTCGCGAAGTGAAAGAGCTTTCGAGTACTCTCCCATGTTGCTATACACACCACTGATGTTGTTGTATGAAGTAGCCAATGTATGATGATAGTAGGGAAGACTTTTTTGTAAAATTTCAAGCGCGTTGTCGTAAAATGAAAGTGCTTTCGAGTACTCTCCTATCTTGTCATACACCAAACCGATATTGGTGTATGACTGCGCAAAATCAGGATGATTTGAGGGAAGAATTTTTTGTCGAATGCCAAGTGCTTTTTTGTGAGATGAAAGTGCTTTCAAGTACTCTCCCATCTTGTTATGCATACTACCGATGTTGTAATATGAAGTAGCCAATTCAGGAGGATTTAAAGGAACAGCTTTTTCTTGAATTTCAAGTGCTTTTTCGTGAAATGAAAGTGCTTTCGAGTATTCTCCCATACTGTCATACACGTTGCCGATGTTGTTGTATGAAGTAGCCAATTTAGGATGATTTGAAGGAAGAGTTTTTTGTTGAATTTCAGCTCGTTGTTCAAAATACCAAATAGCCTTTTCATAATCACCTTGACTCCAGTGGACACCTCCAAGCTGATTATAATAATGCTGCTTTTCACTCTCATCAGATGTCTGTTCGAGTAATACATTATAAAGTTCTTCAGCCTTATTAAATTGACCGATTTCAATCAATAAACCACCCAATCTCTGCCATGCAGTGCCACCACCAGCTTCTTCTCGTATCCGATCAGTAAGTAATCGCAATTGTTGATCATCATCTGATGTCAACTGTAATTCAACTTGATAAAGTTGATTGTTATTGTCCATTTGTTTCATTGCAACCAGTCGAAAGACAGTGTGCATTGAGAAGAGGATTTCATCTTCTTCTCTAAAATAGCTCAGTTCCTTGATAGAAGCAAATGGTGCTGATTTTATAGAAGGATCAATAGACATAATAAATAGAATGCCGACCGTCTCCGCATTTCCCGACGCACTTAAAGCAAATATGAGAGGTATGTCTTGGTCTGTACTAGTGGACAAAAAGTTGTTGAAAGACAATAAACCACCTTTTGTTTTTTGTAGTTTTTCAAAATTTGTTTTGGATAGACCTTGTCCTCGATAAACTAAAAATGGTTTGCCATGATAACTATTAACCTGTTGTTGGTGTAGTTGTTGAATTTGAAGATGAAGATCATGAATAAAGAAACCTAGATTAATAATGGTATCACCTTCCATAGAGCGAAGACTATCGTTGAGCATAGAATAAATAAATGATGGGTAAGTATACCACCAAATAGCTGATTGAGCACTGTATTCTTTTTCAAATCGGTCAATATTGTCTGACGACTCGGGATTATTCTGACGACAGTAAGTAATAAAGTCCTTGATGGCCTGGCTATTATGTTCCATATTAAGAAGAATTTCTTTGAATAGCTGAGTGTACATAAATGTTGGATCCAATTGATTTAAATTATCAGTTGAAGCTATTTCATTTATTGGAATAAAACTTACAGCAATTGAGTCTTGATTGTATTGTTTAATACCTTGTTGTAATTTTTGACATAGGTCATCGACGTTGGTATCTACGCTCTTGATTTTTTGCGATTTTTTTATCGATGTTTCAGGTAGGATTTTAGTATCATTAAAGATATAAATACTATGCAGCTGAGGAATATCATAGATGAGAGGCATTATTTCTTGAGACATAGTATCCTTGACAATGAGAAAAGACTTGATATCTTCTCGAGCATCTGTAAGGTAATCGATGCATTCATCTCGTTGTCTAAAGACATTCACATTGTCGACGATGGTTCGTATTTGTACCAAACTATTTTCATAATCTTTATTAGTTTGATCCACACCTTCATCTAACCAGAGGAGTGAATAATTTCGAACCATCCGTCGCCTTTGTTGAATAGCATCCGATAGTGTTACAGTCGTGTTGTAGTTATTTACAGCCGCGCTTGATGACAAAGCAGCTCTTGGATTGGGTCCTGATCGACTCATTTGATCCTTTCTATAATTTGATGTTGAATATAAGCTTAACAATGGCGTATTTTTCCAGTCTTTTTCAGCATGCAGAATGTGTATATATTTTTGTCAAGACTCAATCAGAAACTTCAACTAATTACCTTTTAAAATACTGTTGTGAAGAGCAAGAAACAGAACAACACAAATAAATTTCTTCATAACATTTGCGATAGAACGAAATGATTCCGTTTTATAGTTATTCTTCTCAACCTTTTTGGCCTTATCTATGCAATTACTTCCGTAATTCAATATACCACCAATACTTTATCATTGAAATGAAATAGAAATCGATTCATTGAGTGAATGTTACTTCTCTTTATCATATATTGTTTTGTAGTTAAATGGTCGCAAGAAATTTCTTAGTACAAAAGAACTGTAACAGTGAACGAGAAATAGTTATTGATTTAAGAGTATCGTAGGAACGATTCTACTGTATAACGTCGATCGAAAAAATGTCGAAAACGTCATAAAGTCGAAAAAAAATGACGAGAAACAAGAACATCAAATAGTAAAAATGTAAAAAAAAAGAAAATCCAAAACACATATTTGATAAAAATCAAAACTTTTACAGCACCACTCACACCCACACCCACATCCTTTAACTAATATATTGTCTACGATATGGTATGTAGAAGTGTATATGACTATAAGAAATTGAATGTTTTTTATCTAGTACTGGTATAAACTCTTAAGATTTTTATTACAAGATACTGATATTAATTTACGTCTAATTATATTTTCAATACTCTATCTGCTTCTCGTGATCGTAAAAACGATTCGATGATACTATTTACTTCTGCTCAAAGAAAACAAATTACCAAGAGGAAGAAATATCACGAATACTCAGTTATTAAACGGACAATATTTGTTTACAATTGAATATCAATATCCGAGGGCAAAGACAACGGCGCCGTAAACGGTAGAAAAACGGTTCCAAAACGTCACCGTAATCCGTCGATCCAGAAATGTATAGAAATAAGGGGAGATACGACTAAAAATAAGGCAGTAAAACGCCGTTTTATAGTCGTTTCTGGATGTTTAAGACATTGTTCTTGACAGTCAGAATGGTTAACATGGGTATGGACAATATTACTGTTGTTGAAGTTTTATTAAATATTAGACTTTTTATTAATTTATTTTCGATTGCTCTCATAGGTGGAGGAGCATGTGTCTATGTCATATGTATACTCCCTTTAAATACTAAACTTTCGTTTTTTTAATATTAAATAAAAAAGATCTCATTATTGCTACTATGTTATATGCTTATATAAACAAACGATTTTTGACATGTATACGAATATATTGAGAATCTTTAATACGTAGAAATAGTGAAATAACAAGTCACAGAATGAAGGATGACTAACAGAATAGAGAGAAAAGAGTAGATGCAATGTTGCATTCATAGCTTCTCTCCTAATACCATGTCTGGTTTTAGAGTACTTAATATAAAGTCAATTACGGCTTAAATATTTCAAAGCCTTATCATCCGTATTATGGCATGATATATCTGTTACCATAAAGAATTGTGAAGATGATAATCCTCTCCGTTTATTCGTAGAAAATCACACGTTATATATAGAGCGATGAATATCAGACGCTAAAAACTATCTCAATAGGTGAACAAAGAAAACGAGGTGAGAAAAGTCCTATCACATACGACAACATAAAAGGAGAAATCTATAAAGAAGAACGAAAGGGAAACAACCAAGACACGAATAATGAGTCACTCGATACATAATATGTACATATATAATCGCAGAACGAAAGAAAATATACATATGACGATATGAAACAAATGATGAAAGCACCAGCTAACAGAATGCTGATTTTCTCACGTACTACTGATATCATTGAGTATTTAAGAAGTGAATATTGTGAAGAGAAGCATGATTCTTGTTTTATGAAAGAATAGGAATAAAGAATATAGAGGAGCGATAACAATCTGTACACATTTATTCATCTAGCAGTCTCCTGCATCGTCGAACAAAAACAAATTACAATGGACGGCATGAATAAAATGGCTTTTTGTGTCGTCATTTTCATCGCCATATTATATATACAACTGAGTGCCTCAGTTCAACGTCCTGCTGCAAGTGGTCGTCTCGATCATTTGATCATCAAACGTTCGGCTGACGTTCGTACTTGTCTTACCAATGCATTTAATGATTACAAGCATGCTGTTCAGAGAGCGCTTCAAAAGCATAATACTGATATTCAGATAGAACTTCAAAAGCACAATACTCATCAGAGAGAACTTCGAACGTACAATCATGCTCTTAAACAAGCACTTAAAAAGTACAATACTACTATTGATGCTTGTAATACTCCTCCTACTACTACTGCTGTTGCTTGTATTAATTCTGGTGCTTGTACTCGTCATGCTGACTGTTGTGATCGTAATTGTATTTATTATCCTCATGGTCGTCTTCATTATTATGCTTCTGCAACTGGTGATAGTGGTGCTGGTGGTAGTGCTCCTGTTCCTTGCTTTGCTCGTCCTCCTTCCTGTGTTGCTGGGCGTACTGATTGTACTTGCTTGTAGTCCATATTAATAAGCTAGATATGCGCTGTTTAAGGACTGTTGTTGATATTTTATTCCATCAATCATACACTCTTCTTTGAAATTATGATTTCGAATTGTTTTAATACTAAATATACACACTGTTTTTGCTTTGTAGGACATATGATGGCACAGTCACGAATCCGCATAAAAAATCGAACATTGCCATCAATCGCCATCAACGTAAAAGAACGTTCTCAATTAGTTAGCTTCTTTCGCTTATCTTGTCGTATTATTTACTTCCTCCGCATATATTCTTGCTTATTTTTTCTCTTCATCTTTTCTGATTATTTCATCATTCTATATTTCAATTAAAATAAAAGCTGAAAACATACTCTACTTTGCTTCCTGAAAACAATACAAAATATTTACAATAAGTATCAGCAAAGTCTCATTATCTGTCTAAGCTCAAAAACTATGATGATAGACTTCGACGTTGTTTTAGAGCGTCTCATCAGACAGCTGACTACCCTTCATTGATCCTTCGATGTTTCAAACAAGAGTGTGGGTGTGGGTGTAAGTATCAATGTTTTCTCTTTGCACATCAATACCCACCCACATCCTCAAATATATATAGTTTATAACGAAATGGTGTTTGAAAAAGAATCAATTGTATGAATTTATTTTAAATAGTTTCTTCATTTATATGATTTTCTTATAATAATCTTTGTCGATTCCATCGGGTCCATGCTACCGCAGGTACATCATCGGGTTCTGTTTCCGGCTGTTTTACCCAACGTCGTCGTTGAGCAAATTCGAAGCAACCAAAGAAAACTGCTAACATCAAATAAGCAACAGTAACTTTCCAACCATCATCATCAGGTTTTTCTTTCAAAATTCGAAAACGTGGGGCATTAATTAAACCCCTAAATGAAAACTTTGCTGCTAATATAGACCATATAGCTGCGCGAATAAATTTTCTATCAATCATATATACATAAATATAGCTGTTAAAAATATACATTGAAGAACACTTCCACCAGAGAAATTTAAAAGACCACGATATGAAAAGGTCTTTATATGTGCAGTAACATTACGATCAAATCCGCATCAGGAACAACAAATCGTGTATAAGCACCTGAAACACCACTTATTATTGTATCTTTAGTCCAATCAGCTATAATAGGCATAATACCAAGAAGAAATGCTGGATAATGACGTTGTGGTGTTATTGCAAGTGTCTCAGAACAAATAACCAAACCAATAAATATCTAAATTTATTTTCAAAATATTTTCTTTTGTTAGAAAAAAAATCAAATTTTAATTTTAAATTAAATACTAACAATAATTGGATTGACTGAAACAATAGTAATAACTGATAGTAGTAATGCATTGGATACCAAAAAAACATATTGGTAAGAAGGCAATACCATTAGCTATTGAATAAGCTTGTTTAGCACCCATTTTTTTAAAAGCTGGATGACCAATAAATGCTAAATAAAAAAAAAGAACTTTGTCATACAAAATTCTTCAATTTCTCTTACTTGTCATTCCAAGAATTGATCCAAAAAAACTTCCGATTAATGTTCCAATTCCATCTGCAAACATTAATTCACGAGTTGGATAAAAATCTCCAGCTCTTTTAGCTGATTCAACACATTGTATTGTTCCACTCGCAATTGATATAGCCGTTGGAATTACTGTTGATAAATATGGAGTTATTTCATGTATATGTGCAAACATTTCTTGAACAGGAAATACTAATGGATAACGTTTAATAATTGCTGCTGCTTCTTTTACATCACTTCCATGATTTAATGATGTTGCCCATCCAAAAATAGTACCAACAACAAGTGCAATAAATGCAACTGGAACTGGACCAAATTTAACTAAACTTTAAAAAATAACTGAAAAATATTTCTCTTTTCCTTTTTCTTCAAAATCTACCTCCAGCATAGTAACTAAGTATAACTATTGCAAATGGAATAAACGATACAATCGGTGATGCGGCTACTGGTAAATATTCATTTAATGCTAAATAAGTAAATCCAATACCAGATATCGATGAAAGAAGTGCCACACTAGGTGTATTTCGTCGAATAAATTCTCCAACAAAACATAATACAAGAAGAATAATTCCTGTCATAAAATTGCTCGCCAATGCCACATGCCATGCTAAGTTTTGACATGTATGTGGATCATTACGACTCTTCATACAACTGGAATAAGTTGGTAATATTATACTGAAAATAAATGCAACTAAAAAAAAGATAAACAAATTTATTTTATTACTTAGAAAGAAACAATAGATTATTTTACATGCTCCTGGTGTATTTATTCCATAGGGCATTGTACATACATCACCACGATTTTCTCTATAAGCAAGTTTTCTTGCCATATATATATAATATAAATTTCCCCACAACATCGATAGTGATACACTAAATCAAAATAAAACAATATTTATTTGTTTTTTATTAAATTGATTTTTACCCAGGAATAATTTTTCCATAGATAAGTTCATCATTAAATACAATTTTAAGACCAAGAATAATAGCTACTAATGTTGATAAATTATTCACAAATAAAGCAATAAATCCATCGATATCACCAACAGCAAATAATGGAAATTTCGGATTGGGTCGAAATGCACTGATCCATTCTTTTGGATGAAATGTAAATAATGTTTTTACTTCTTGTTTTAATTGATCATAAGGTGAATCCATCATTTCAGTAAAATTAACATGATTATTTGCTTGTATTATAGGTCTCACAGTGACAGCAGATTCACCATTAATTGAAGGTAAATGTTCTGTTGTATTAGACGAAGTCATCTCAATAGTATCTGTTGAAGCCATCTCTATAGTATCTATTTTTGACTATATAGAAAAAGATATAAAAAGAACTAACATATAATATCTTTTCACTATTTATACTAAGATGTGAATATAATAACATCTCATAATAGAAGAAGAACGAATGTAAATATTTTATATATAATACGCGAAGACATATTCTTGTCAAATGTAAGAAGTTATTATTCAAGATGTTTTTATTATTGTGTTATTGAAAGATAAAAATGATAACAACTAAAGAAAAAGAAGGATCTTTGTATTTTCGTAGAAAACTTCTAATGATGTCATTCTGCGTGGTCTGTTTTTATATTATGATACAGCAAATAACATCATTAATTATTTATAAATGACTTATATTAATTTATTATTTTTCTTATTAAAGTATTTTTATAGCTATCAAATATATTTGAATAGAAATAAAAGGAAAAAAGCGTCATCTATCGAAATATCAAACTTGAATACAGAGCTCTACAACTCAATTGACGGTGTGGATGTGGGCGTGCCATCTTTGACTTTTACTATCCACACATCCTTAGTATAATAATTATGCTCAAAATATTTGCTTACAATTATTCAAACTGTTACTAAGGAGTAACGAGTTGTAAGCATCTTCTATCAATTGTGTAAAACGTGAATACTCTCTATTTGTATAAATCACCGGCTTGATTTTTTTTTATTTCACTTGAAACAGATAGAAACCTTGAACATGAAGGTGTAAGTAGAAGTAGATTTATAGGAGAATGAATGTGGATGAGGATGAAAGGGAAAAAGAGACACTTACACCCACAACCACCCTCAATTAGGTTTTCTAAATTTGCAAAAACAACTAAAAATAAATTGAAAAAGTGGTGGACTTGTACGTGAACAGATCAATGTAAAATTGGTACATAAAGGGATTATTATTCTACTTCGCATCACTTGTCGAGATTCTTGATGAATTGTAATATCAGCAACTTTAATTGATTTCATTACCAGAAGGCAGCAGTTAATTCAAGAAAACTAACAGATAGAAGATGTGGCAAGATGAGATATTCAAGTTTCGTTAATTTTGGTGGTCGATTCACTAACATTCGTTGGAAAAATAGATTTCCATTGTGCTCTAAATCAAATCGACAGCGTTTCAAAGAAAGAAAACATTCTTCTTCCTCAAATATCATTTTGATTAAATTTTGAAGGATCTCTGCTGAATTTTTCGTCGATGATCGAAGTTCTAAAGTGTGAAGACTTTTCAGTTGTGCAACTTGTGATATTAAATCATTGAATTTAGTGCAGTCTGCATTGGTATAGCATTCTATATTGTTGACAATTAATGTGTGAAGTTCTTTGTAGGCAATGAGTGGATAGATGAAAAAAAGTTGTGAAAGATTATGATCAGATTTTGACGATAACAAAGCAGCATGTACTTTTAGTGATTTAATATTTGATGGACTTAGGACTACTTTGCTGTTTTTGGCTGACTGTGCAAGGAGGAATTTTAAATCTTTTTCACTCACCAGACTCAAAGTATTTTTATTTTCTGTTTGTGATAGGATACTATTGATTCTCAAAGTGAGACCAAAAAATTTGAATAATTCAAAAAATAATTCGACAGAAAAATGTTCTAGTGTCGTCGTTAGTGAGCTATTTGGCATTTTGTCAAAAACTTTTTTTTCAATAACCACACATGCCACGTTAACTGTCAGTTTATAGGAGCATGTTTATAAATACAAAAAAAAGTAGTGGAGTAAAAATCTCCAAGAGAATGAATAAATTCGATTGTTTTCTTCCGTTTGAAAGAAAGAAAAAAATTGCAAGGAGTGTAGAGAGAGTGAGTCAAGAGAAAAAGTCATTTGGAATTTTTTTTTGTGTTTGTTATTAGGAGTCATGGAGATGAAATGAAAAA